AGGGCGGTGGGGTTCGCTGTGGGGCTGAGCGGCGGGGAAGGGTGCTCCCGGAGCGGCCTCCCTGCTGTCCGGGGGTCACGGCGGCCCTGGGGGAGCGTTCCCCGGCCAGGTCCTGCGCGGAAGCGAGCGGACAGAGCCGCTGGGTCTCTCTGAGCGCTGCCTTTCGGGATGGCTTTGGAGACCCGAGCAAACCTCGCTGTTCTCTTACAGATCGCTTGCGATGTCTGGGTTTGACAGCTTCAACACAGACTTCTTCCAGACGAGTTACAGTATTGATGACCAGACACAGGCCTATGATTACGGTGGAAGACCGTACAGCAAGTAACTTGTGCATGCCTTCTGAGCTTGTGTAACGGGTGTCTTGTGTAAAGCCATTCAGTCACGCTTCTTTAGCGCCCGAGCCTGAGTTCAGATACTTCTGGGGTAGTCTGTTTATTCAGGAAAGGATTGGTGTTTCAGCCAGGCAGTGTTGCCTGTAATTGAATTCCTGATGCTCTGTTTTATGAAGAGCATAACTTACATTCTATAAATGCAGATATAAAGCAGTTGTATGTTGAATATTCTGCCTTCTACATTTTAAAGCAAAGATTAGAAAATTGAAAGAAAGGTTGTATGAGTAATCTTAATTATATGAATAATCTTCACATCTTTGGGAAAAGAAACATCATTCTGTAAGTGCATCTCCAGTCACTCACTCGGGGACTAAAAATTAGTTCCAGTGTCACATAAAGAAGCTTGCGATGTCAGTGGTGATTCCTAGGCTTCGGTATGGAAGGTGTGGCGGATGTTTCTAGGTCTAGTCCTAAGTCTAAAGGACTTGGGAGTCCTTTATGGATATCCAGTCTCAGGCTGAGGGTTCTGGTCGGTTATGTGACCTGTGTGATCCCTGCGATAGATGGGGCAGGTAGATGCCTGTTTGCGCCCTGAAAAAGATGACGGCGCTGTGATGAGGCTGGACTCTACTAACACAAGGAAAGACAGGAGAATCAGTTCTGGGTTTTCCTTCTTTATATTCGTATTTCCATAGTTAAATATTTTCGATGCTTTTACTGAAATCTCTGTAGTCAGAAATGTTTAGTGGCAAGAATAGCTTAAAAGTTTGTTTAGGAACAGAAGATAGCTTTGATTAAGCTTTTTTTTTAAAGGTAGCAATGTATATTTTTATACATATAAAGTCTATAGTAGAAAGTATTCTAAAGACAGCGTAAATTGATTTGTTAGTAAATAATTGAGAATACATGAAATAGAAACTGAAAAATTGTCCCTTTTTTTCCCCTGCATCGTGTCCTGTAGGTAGATGTCATAATGTGTTTAATGCTGTATCATAATTTCTCCTTATATGTCTTAATGCTACCTGATACACATGGTGCTGAAGTGAAGGGGAAAACAGGTTTTTTCTTATTTTTAACTAAGCTCATTTTTTAAATATAGAGGGTAACAAAAGTGGTAGTATGAGAAACTTTGTTCTCTAATAGTGAGTTTGCAAATATACATTCTAAGTAGCAAATTAATGCTAGCATCAAATGAGATGTCAGTAGTAATTAATGGACAATATTTGAACAAGTTTGAGATGTCAGATTTTCATACTCTTTACATGTCTACAGCCTGTGGTAGTAATTCAGTCAATGGATAACGCTCATTTCTCCGGGCCTCTGACTTAAAACCAAAAAACAATGCTAGCATATATAGCAAGAATTACCTTGTTTAGCCTAACAGTATTGTTTATAAGGATTTGAATTGATGGACGTGGCTATATGCCTAAAAGGCCTGGATCTGAGTAGGGGATCATCTAATGTGACTTTTTAAAAAAGAAGAAAGGATTGTTTGCTGCAACTTATTTAGTGAAAATAAGCTTTGCTTTTGCCGGGAGGCGTTTAAAATAAAAGTCTGTATCTGTCCATAATGCGATGTCATTCTTTGCAGGCAGTATGGAGGCTATGAATACTCTCAACAAAGTGGATTTGTCCCTCCAGACATGATGCAGCAGCAGCAGCCTTACACAGGGCAGATTTACCAGCCAACACAGACATACACTCCAACTTCAGCACAGTCTTTTTATGGAAGTAATTTTGAGGATGAGCCTCCTCTATTAGAAGGTATAACTTATGCTTTATGGCCAAAATCCAAAACTGTTCCTGATTTGGGGATAAGTTGAGCAGCACGGTCTGTATTCCCTACTTCTGAAAGTGCACAGTTTATTTGAAATTCTCTTTTTTTTTTTTCTTATTTAACTGTATTTTGGTATATGAATACATGTTCTTGTGTGAACTTCTGCAGTTTAGAATTGTGCTTTATTACTTAATACCAGCTGTTCTGTGGAGGACATAATGAATTAAATGGATAACCTGACTTCATACAGGTTTTATGACAAAACACAGTAATTTTGAGGATGAGCCTCCTCTATTAGAAGGTATAACTTATGCTTTATGGCCAAAATCCAAAACTGTTCCTGATTTGGGGATAAGTTGAGCAGCACGGTCTGTATTCCCTACTTCTGAAAGTGCACAGTTTATTTGAAATTCTCTTTTTTTTTTTTCTTATTTAACTGTATTTTGGTATATGAAATACATGTTCTTGTGTGAACTTCTGCAGTTTAGAATTGTGCTTTATTACTTAATACCAGCTGTTCTGTGGAGGACATAATGAATTAAATGGATAACCTGACTTCATACAGGTTTTATGACAAAACACTATTTCTGTTGTTGCAAATAAATAATACAGTAATACAATTACCCACTTTTTGTAAAACAAATCGATGCAGTTAGTTTCAGTTGATTCTTTGGTTAGAACTGAAATCTTTCATTGCTGAAGAGGAATGCTAAACACTGCAGAAATTCCTATGTAGAATAAAGCCTGTGTAGAATGCCAGAAGAGATACGTAGTTAGCGTCTGGATTGATGGATTCAGTTTCCAACTTATATCCATCATTGTTCAGTACTAAGCAATGGAAGAAGCCCTTACTGTTACTGGTTAGAGACAGGTATTCGTGATGCCTATCACCTATACCTACTCACGATACCTTCCACCCTGCTGTGCTTTTTTTGTATTCCTCAAACAATTATTTTGTTTACATAGATGCTTCCTAGAACCTGAGGTGGGCAACTGGTAACTGCATTCGTAACTAGGTTTTGACGCACAACTGTGGGCAAACTGTATGGATGGAGACTTGAAATCCTATCTAGCTGGAGGGAGCTGTGAAACTCCTTGTCATGAGACACTGAGTGTTAGAAGGGGTGGGTGGTTTTTTTAGTGGGCTAAGTGGCTGGTTTATGAAAGAGAAATCCACTGAGGGTAATTAAGTACAGAGAAACTACTTTGAATTAGAAATCGTTGAGCCACCAGTCACTGGAGACTTGGGGAATCCGCATATTCTGTGCTTATACTCTTCGTACAGATCTGCTTTTGGCCACTTACATGGACAAGGTACTGGGCTAAATGAACTTTTGGGCAGATCCAGAACACTGCACTGGTGCTGTTAGCTGGTCCTTTAGAAACCACGTTGTCACTTCTGAGCATTAGATACCTGGAATCTGTGGAGGCAGCACACTCAGCAGCTTGAGGAAAGATGGAATGACTCGATTCTCTGGTCCCCATAGAATGGTATCTGGAGGAGATTTAAAAGTGGAGGGGCAGGGAATACTTAAGAGTGAAGCGAATGGGGGTGACAGGAAGGGGAAAAAATGAAATAAATATGCATAATTCTTTTCATGTGATTTGTAGAATTGGGGATCAATTTTGACCACATCTGGCAGAAGACACTAACGGTGCTACACCCATTAAAAGTAGCAGATGGCAGCATCATGAATGAGACTGATTTGGCTGGACCAATGGTCTTCTGTCTAGCTTTTGGGGCCACATTATTACTGGTAAGATATTGATTGCAAAATATTACTGTTTGTGCTTCAACATTTTTGGAAACACTGGAAAAAAAAGCCAAGTTACTTACAGGTTTACTGGAAGTGACTTCTTGGCACGGAAGCCAAAAAAGCACATCCTGACCAAGAATTTGTAGCTATATGGAAGAGGAGCTGGGGCTTCACACGCAGCTGATTGAAATTAATGCTATCACTACCACTTTAATTCAGTCGAGTTTGAATCCAAGTCTTTGTGCTTGGTTTTTGCATGGCAATTATTTCAATGTAATTCATATTTCTTTTCATACTTTGCTTTTGAGGAGTGTGGCTCCCTTTTGTCACAGGAATGGGTGTGACCCATGTTCAGATTTTTATGTTTGGCTTTTTTTAATAGGTTGAGATGTTTTACTTTCAGAATTGTACCTTGTCCTTTTGCAGTGTCTCTGTTCTGTCTTATCAGGAATCAGACACATTAAATATTTGAATATTTATTTCATTTCTTCATTTAGGAGTTTCTTTTATTTTTTAACTCTTAGTGTGTTTAATATTTGAGTCTATTTCTCTGTTTTGTTCATTCTATTTCTTTGCTCCATACCCTTTATTCATTGGTCTTTACTAATATTCAAGAGGCAAGGAAACTCAAAATTCACATGTAAAAAGTGATTTCATAAGTACTGATACATTAGGCATGACTTTCGGTATCAAGAGACAAGTCTGGTAAAATACTTCTAAAGTAAACCTGCTTTCAAATTGTTTATACTTCTTAATAGGTCAGCAGCTGTTGAAGCCTGGTGGTTTTTTTAGTTGAGCTTAATTGAAATACGTTTGTGCTTTAATGACTCAAAAGTGTCAATTATGAAATGACAGAGTAGCAGCAAACAGTATTCCTTGTCACTGAAAGTGTCAATATTTTTAATCTTTTTTTTTTTTTTTTCTCTAAATGTCTTCAGGCACTGCATTTAATTTTTGCCCAAAATTTCAAGTTGTTACCACACTTAGAACACAGTGTTTTGGTACAGAGGAGACTTCAAGCCTACTTTTATAAGTAACCTTTATTTATGGAAACTAGGCCAGTAGAATTAATGAACGTGTTTATAATAGATATATTGGAATGTTATTTTCCTAAGAAATGATTACTTTCTTCTGTGTGCTTTTTTTTAAATACATTGAGTGTAGTGAAAGAAAACAAGCTTAGCCTAGCAAAAAGATTAAAACAGATATGATTGTTTTCTATAGTGCTTGAGGAAGAAGAATGCTGGGTTATAAGTAAACTTAGTTTGGAAGTTAGTAGTGGGAGACAGACCGGGAAGCTACGCGCCATCATAGCTTCAGTAACTTCATGGCCCTGTATTCCTGCAGGGGTGGACATCATGCATTGGGCGCTTTTTGATAGATGTTATAAGGGAAGCTTTGATCTCATCATTGGAAAAACATGATGACATAGGATACATACGTTTTGAAATAATGCATGTATGCTTTCTACATACTTGTTAGTAAGCAAAATTCTGATTTTGACTTTCTAAAATTGCCATGAGTTAATTCTGCTGTTCATATACAGTGCTTTACAGCTCAGCTTCAACTGTTTCTGGCGATTTTTTATAACTTGCATTGTGCTATAACTTTGTGGGGTCTATCGCAAATTAAAGGACTTCAGCTCCAGATTAGTTCAAAAGTTCCTGAGTTACAATTTTTTGGCCTGTATACACTAGTTCTGTAAAGATTATTGCAAGCAATCAATCATCATGAGAAATTAGTGGATTAAACCCTAAAGAATGCGTAGGCTTTTGCAGCCCAGATCAAAGAATAACGATTTGATCAAAATCTGTTCATCAGGATAGGTGAAGTTAGGATAAATGTGCCTCTTGGGTGCCTAGAATGTACAGGTGTCCTGGAATTCAGGGTGTGGGAAAATACTGCCTGTTGAATTTGAATATAGCAATTGAGGGTGGGGGACAAGGGGGAAAATGAAGATATTCTGTAAACATTCTTTCCTTTTCCCTTTCTTTGTGGGAGGCATTACTTGTTCTGGTAACTAACATGCATTACTCTGCTTGACTTTCAGGCTGGTAAAATTCAGTTTGGTTATGTGTATGGAATAAGTGCAATCGGATGTTTAGGGATGTTTTGTCTCCTGAACTTAATGAGCATGACGGGTGTCTCGTTTGGCTGCGTTGCCAGCGTCCTTGGATACTGTCTTCTTCCTATGATCTTACTTTCCACTTTCGCAATTGTATTTTCATTGCAGTAAGTACATAAACTTTATAATTTGGTAATAGATTCCTCTCCTATGAGATGGTGAAGGAAGTGATGAAAAGGAACTTTCATATTCCTTGATGAAGCTGCATATAATTTGAATATGACAGGAATTTGTAGTAAGTGTAAAAACATTAATATCAACAGTCTTCAGGTAGTTACTGGATGAAGGATAGGTGAATACTGGTTTTATCTATAAGTCAATTAACAGCTTTTAAATACATAGACTCAAATACCAGTATCAAGTTTGTTTTCAGTCAGCTTTGAATCTTACAAATCTCAGTACCTGTGAAGTCTAAAAGTAAATATAATTTAAGATGCAAATTTGAATTTGACAAACAGAAGAAAATCAGTGTGATTACTCATAGCTATATGAAATTAGGGACTGAAAAGAAAGAACTGCTACAGTTACTTTACTCACCGCTTTTAAGTTTCACATGCACAAAGTTAATTTTGGGGTTTTTTTATGCTGTCATAATTTAATAATATCATTTTGAAGCCTTTCTGGAACTATTTCGTTTAAGAAGTCAAAGATAAAAGCTAAAATTCATCTTATAAGCTGTAAAAGGTGTTAGAAGGAGTCCAGTTACAACTCCTGTAAGCATATATACACAGGTCTTACATGAATTCTCTTTTTTTTCTGTCTTTACAGGGGAATGATGGGGATTATTCTCACGGCTGGAATCATCGGCTGGTGCAGTTTTTCTGCTTCCAAAATCTTTATTTCTGCCTTAGCAATGGAAGGACAACAACTTCTAGTAGCATACCCCTGTGCTTTATTGTATGGAGTCTTTGCTCTCATTTCTGTGTTTTGAATAGACTGTCCAAACTGTTGGACTCCAGTGGGCCAAAATGAAAACATCAACTCGGAACATTTAGTTGGACCAGAAACAGCTGCAAACAACTGTACAGTGTTGCTGTCACAAAACTTAGACCTGTTTTGAATCATCTGGAACAATGAAAACAAATGTCTCGTGTTCACTTTTTTAGGACTTTGAATACTGTTTTCAATTGACCTGAGGTGTCTATAGCTTTAATAAGTGTTCATGCTTATCAAGTTAATGTAATTTCTTTCCCATTCTTATATCTTTAGAAATGTAACTTTGGGTTGTTTATTTGAGGGTTGGGGTTTTTGTTTGATTTTTGTTTTTTTTTTTAGGGGAGGGAGGGAGGGAGAAGGATGGCAGTTATAAATCGATAGATTTTTATCAGCAAAAGTTAATGGAACTGCAGATGCTGTAGATTTGGGGTACTCTTTGAATAAATCTGCAGTAATAAAGAACCTGTTTCCTGTCCCCGCTTACCAAAAGCAAAATGCACAAATGAACACAAGCAATTAGAGTATTTTCTATATTTTAACAAGTATACTCTTAAGCTCTTTGGTCTCATTTATTTGTTCATTTGATGTGAAAGTATTTCAGGATTTAAGATACTTAAATTATGAATTAGAAAACAGATGCTTAAAAGTTAAAGGGATCTGTAATTCTGTCACACTTGAAATATGAATATATTTGGATGTCTAAGTAGCTCTATGTTAACTTGGATTTCTGAAGATGACTTCAACTAGAGTTTTTTCCTAATGGTGCACATACTAGTAGATGAAGAGTAATCTCTTTTGCAGTACTTCCAAGAAAAACACCATTTTGAAAATGTTATGCTTGTCAGTATTGTAGTTACTGTAAAATAATTTAAGGCATATTGATTAAATTTTCCTTAAATTTTGAAAAAGGTGTTTGATTATTCTAATCTTTCTTTTTTAATGGAGTTCAGTTTTTAAAATAAACTTCAATATTGGAGCAAAATCATATTTAAAACTGTATACAGTTAGTGGATTTGATACTTGCTTCAGTCGCACATACCTAATCTTACATGAGAAGTATAATCCAGTTTGTAATGTTTGTTAGTCACTTAGAAGAAGTCTTACGAGCATAAGAAGTGGGAAAGCAAAAATGGTTGTTCTTCAAATAAGCACTTGCTAATTCTTAAAATAAGCAAGAAAAGGATACAGACATATTTTAACTCATACTGGGGAGGTTACTTACATAGCTAGTAATTCCCCGCCCCTGCCTTGGAAATGAAAAAGCTCTGACAAAGTGCTAGTTTATAACTACCATTTCTTCAGCAATTTAATCCAAGGGATTTCGTTTCGTTGAATTCACCACAGGTGTTAGTCTGATGTTCGTCTGTCATGTCCATGGAATGATCTATTCGTAGACTTCAGGAGTTGAATCAGTGGTCAGACGTGTTACGTTAACACCTTCTGGTAAGACGCAATGTGCGAATGCATCTTCAAAGGAAAGCTTTCATCTTGCTGATACATGAATGAATAATTTCAAAGGCTCAGCACACGTTCTTGTTCCCTCTTCCCTTAGTTCTTTACGTTCTCCTAAAAATACCTTCCTAGTGCCACTAGACGCTACTGACAAGGTCCTTCTTTGTTGGCCAGAGCCAGCTTTTGCTTGTGTCAGTGGGAGTTGTGGGAAGTGTCATAGGAGTCTAAAGCTTTTAAGAACCAAACACTGATGCACAAAACCATTCTGACTTGGGTTATGTACTGTAACTGGCTGTTACAATGAATTTTAAAACACACACACACATAAAAGACTTCAGTTTTCTGCCAGAAGCGAATTCAAGGACCTAGATAATTTTCTACTTCGATATGTTATTACAAATTATCATCCTAAATAAAAGTGGTGAGTTCATTCATTTAGCAAAATGCTTTACTCTGTAGTTTGTAGTTCTGATTTCTTTGGATTAGTAGACCACATCTGCCCTGGTGCACAAAGTTCTTACTCCTTTTAATGAAGAACATTACCTGCTGATGGAGCACGATGTCCTGTATTTGTGCAAATAAATTACAGTGATTACCTTTACTAATGAGGCCTAATTAAATACAGAATTGCTCTAGTAAGTATAAAAGCTCGCATACTTTCTTGAGCACATCAGGTTCTAATACTAAATATTATATTTTTGTGGAGCAGGCTAATTAAGTTTATCTTGCGTATACGAATGTGGTTCATTTCTTAAAGCTTGCGCTGATTCTGTAGATAGCTTCCAGGGTGATTGCTTGCATGGTAAACTTACAAATAACTTTTTCTCTCACCACAGCACAAGGAAACTAAGCGCACAGGAAAAACATGAAAATTAGCTTGTCTCAGTATAGCACTGGCAATACAGCTGCTGAGTTTGGAAAGACCATATGAAAAGGTTTTTATTAAGACATATGTGTTCACAAAGCCCTTGCCCTGGCAGTAGAGGATACTACATGTTCTACTTGAGCAGTGAGGTTTGACCAGCGAGTTTCAGGAGCATCTTGTGTTCTTCGGCTCACATTGTGGAGAATTTGGCAGTGAATTTCCAAGTGGACTCTTGGGGGCAGGAGAGAAGCGGATGGGAGTAGAAGGTCAAACACTTTAATTCATGGAGGACTTTATAAAAACACAATGTTATGTCTAGACTGGTAGTCTTAAATATCCCAAATTTCTGGTACGTTAATTAATGTGATTCTATTGACTGCGTTTATTGCCTTTCCAAAATCAATTCCATTGATTTTCTGTAATAATGTTTTGTCCTGGATCTTGCTTCAATTTTAGTTACATTTCAGACAATTTAATCTTGCCATCACATAGAATGACAAGATTGTATGCTGTAATTCTTTACTCCCACATTTGCATTTCATATTTAGTAGGACTTTTTTTCTTTTTACTTTCTAAATCTGAGCTCTCCCCCACAGTCTGTTAAGATCAGTATTCTTATCTAGTTTTCAGATTAAATACTAACGTTACTTGCTTCCATCCTGCATTGTCTCTTGACATTTTCATGTTACTCAGCTTAAAGCATTCAAATGTGAGTGCTGGTGTTGCTTTTTTAAAACCACTTTTGTTATCACACCCAATCTTGAAATTACTTCCTATTCTACAAAAGTTAAAAGTTATCTTTCCCAGTTTGTCCATTTTTTCTCACAGTTTGTCAATGTTTTGACAGTGACTTTATTTTTCAGGTCACTTGTTTTGCTATGAGGCAGCTGCTGACTGCAGTGCAGTTTGTTTCTATAGGCAATATTTCTGTAAGTATCAAAAAATTACATGGCACATCCTTTAATAAAAAGCATGGTTTTTTTGTGCTTTTATGCCTTTCATCTGTGCACTGGTGTTGGCATCTGTTCTTGAGGGGCTATTACTTGTTTAGTGATGGATGAATACCTTCAGAAGCCACAGAGAGCAGGGACTGATTTGGCATTTTGTGTGAAGCCAGATGTTCCTTCATCCTCCTGACTGGAGCGGAGCATCCTGGATTTGTATGGGGAGCACTGACACTACTGTGCACCAGCATTGCTCGTGTTTTGCACTGCCTTCTCTCCAAAACGATTACCTTATTTCTGTGGAGTTGAACAGTCCGTTTGTTTGGGTCTGTAATAAGAAGCTGGAATACCCTTAAGCTTGTCTCCAGGTATCGGCACCAGGATGTTTTCACTGGATAATCTGTGCTCGAAGGAACTGGGACTCTTGCTCCTCTAGGGACCGATGGTTGCAGTTGGGCACACGCTTCACGGTGCAAAGAGCAGTCAGTGGGAGGGAGTCACTCGCTAATGCACTAACCGTGCATTAGTCCATATCAGTACCATTGTTTAAAAGTTTGTTAATATTTTTTAGGAACCACTTTAGCTAAAGGAACAGCCAGTGCTTTGGGGTATAACACATATGTTATGCCACAGAAGCAGGGTTTGCAAAAGAGAGAGCATCTTTTCACTGTGCCAGTTGATTCACCTGGACAAGCTTTCAGTCTCTTGTGTCTTCACCGAGATGCTTTGGAGTGTCTGCTGTTAACGTTACGTGCTGCATAGTAACAAAAAATGAAGGAATGAAGTAACTGGGGCTTGCTGTTTCGTGCTTCTCCACTGGGTGGGCCTGCAACATATCTGATGTGCTACAGCATATCTGATGTACTACGAGATACCTGCTGGACTGCAATGCTTCTGAGGCACTGTAAGGCAGGACTAGGGGCTGGCGCGGCCCAGCATCAGGAAGCCTTTCCCCTCCTTCTCCCCTCCTCGCTTGTCCCCCACAACATCAATAGCGATTACATTCCCAGGTAGTCAAACTGCTAATGCTGTCAAGCTGGGTTTCTGTTCCCTGTAATGGGGAAGGGATTAATTTCAGTCATGGCCTGTCAAATTAGCAGAGATGCTGTGTGTGCTAGGTAGCCCTCCTGGCAACAGGGAACCTTTGCTACATCTCGTTCTCTGTATAAAGCTGTAATATTTCTGACCAGCCTTTTTTTTTCACATTACCAGGGAGTCTCTTCATTTTCTGTGCGCAGTGCAAAAACACATAAAATTATTTTTCTCTGGGCAATTCATTGCCTTTCCAACTGTTGGGTGATACAGACAGGCAAGCTCTTCCGTAGTGTGGATCACATTGTGTCGTAGCACTGTCTCGGTACCTTTTGTCCGTGTAAGTCCACGCATCCTTCCTTTGCTATACTTTTTAAATTTAGTTAAATAGCATTCTTCTCAGAACTAAAACAATTTATTTACACGGTCTATGGGATTAGAAGAGTTTTTAAAATGTTTTTTTGTTGTTTAGGAGTTGCAAGCCCTACTATATCAAGATGTAAGGACTTCAGATTATTTATTGTGGTTATCCTTGAGCGTCCTGTGAGATGGGGAAGTTTCGTTGTTATTTTTTGTAGATGAAAAATGGAGTAAGGAGATGTATGTAATTTGTGTAAGTCCTGCTGCATTTGACCATCTTTATGCCAGCAGAACGTAACGGGGTATTTCTCCCAGGGGGGGATTCTCAGCCCAGCTCTTTGCGATACAGTTTGAAAGTGGGAGGAGGTTTTGTAATTGGAAAGTCTGTCGATTGTGTTTGCCAGCTTTGTGCTTTCCTAATCAAAGCCAGCAGGCCGTTAGCCAAACAGCAGCTCATGCTTTGGGGAGGACTGCAAGCATTGTGCTCTTAAGGGCATTTTTTTTTCTGCTGTTATTTCTTTGCTTTATTGCAGGAAGTACTGACATTAGAAAAGCGAGGATTCTCTGGTCCTCATCGGGAATGGTGAAGTGGAAGATTGTCTAAAATTAGACACTAGTCCTGGAATAGGCCTCTCTCAAAAATTGTACTGTAATTATGTGTCTTTAGGACGAAGGGCGTTGCTCTATTTCTTTACACACCAAACTCCACCACATCGTTCTTGAAATTACAATGGTCTTACCATATATATTTCTAGTCATTTTTTCCCAACATTCTTGCTTTTCTGCTGTTAGCAAAGGAAAATCTAATCTTCTTGGATACCTGCCTTACCTACTGATCTACCAGACTGATTCACTTTTCAGTCATGGAATTTGCATCTGCTTTCATGCAAGAGCTGAAGCCAAAGGTAGGAGGCACTCTGTGCTTCCATCGGAAAGATGACCCCAATTCCCACGAGCCTCTCTCTCTCTACTGCGTGTGGCTGCGGCAGTGACATGAAGTTACCATGGGGCTTTGAACCAGACCCTGCCGAAGGCACTCTTTACCTACCTGTGTTTTCTCAAGTCTGGAGAATAATGATTTACTGCTAAAAAGAAGTCAGGAAAATCCCCTCTCTCTAGACTGCCCGTTCCGCAGCACAAAATGTTAGGTAGCTCCTGAGGCACCGGGTGTGTTTTCCCCTTTGTAAATGCGTGGTTAGCATCTCACGTTGCTAAATGCGTTACAGGAGGGTATTTCCCCTCTGAGAT